AGCCCTAGCAGTCATTTGGGTTGGGTCTGGTCATCCAGCCCATCTCAAATGACCGTTGGCCCAGCGCTGGGGTCTCTCTATAAATACCCTCTTCCCCAAGAGGTTCAGGTAACTCTTCTTGCCCCTTTTCTGTACTATTGCTTCCACTCTGCCCAATTTCTTACTTTGGCATCGGAGCGTCTTGCAGGTACACCCCCCCCCCCCTTTCTCCTCCTCATCATCGGCGAACAGGTAGCAGCCCAACAGAGTGTGGCCAGTCCGTGATCCCCTTCTGATCAGGTCAGATCACATATCATACGAGCGAACAAATCCGCTACCTTTACTGCGGTGAACTGTGTAGGTAACATTCCAAAGTGTGCTGCCTTAGACAGACGATCTACCACCACCAGAATAGCTGTGTTTGTTTGGAAAGAAGGGAGCCCAACAACGAAATCCAAAGAAATATCTTCCCACACTCGATGCGGGATTGGTAATGGGTGTAACAACCCGTAAGGGGAATGATTCGCTGGTTTGGTTTGTTGACACACCGCACAAGCTTTGACAGATGTCGCTACATCTTTACGCATACCATACCAAAAAATATTCTCTTGAAGACGGCCAAAAGTGCGATGCACTCCACTATGTCCTCCTAGGGGTGAAGCATGAAACTCCTCCAACAACATGTGTTTCAGGGAGGAAGTGGCTGGTACAAACAGTCTCCCTTTGAAGAAGGCTAGTCCATCCTTGATCTGAAAATGAGGGAAGGTTTCAGGATGATTTTGAACGTTTTGAATCCACTGTTGGAATTCATCATCAACACTCAGCTGTGCCTTGAATTTCTCAAGGAAATCCAAATGTGGAACTGTGATCACTAAACAATGCACACGAGATAAGGCATCAGCTACCCAATTTTGTGCCCCGGGTTTGTAAATAATCTCATAGGAGTAGCCTAGCAGCTTGGCTAGATAGAATTGTTGTTCTGGGGTCTGTATCACTTGAGTCATCAGTTCCCGTAAGCTTCTTTGATCTGTATGTATCGTGAATGTAGTACCCAAGAGATATGTCCTCCATTTTTTGACTGCAGACGTAATAGCACAGAGTTCCCTAACATAAGTAGATGCCTGGAGTAGTCGAGGACAAAACTGTTTACTATAATAGCAGATGGGGTGACCCTGCTGAATTAATATCGCACCCATTGCACTCCCGGGGGCATCTGTTTTGAGTATAAAGCGTTCCTCAAAGTTAGGTAAACTCAATACCGGTGCGGTACTCATAGACTCCTTCAGTTTTTCAAATGCCACCTGAGCTGATTCAGTCCAAACAAAAGTGTCTCGTTTTAATAAAGCTGTGAGTGGAGCAGCTATAGTTGCGTAATGTTTGACGAACTTCCGGTAAAAACCAGTCAGCCCGAGGAACCCTCTCAATTGCTTAACGTTGCGAGGTTTTGGCCAATCAATCATTGCACCAATCTTTGAAGGATCAGGTCCTACCCCTTCAGCCGACACCACATGTCCAAGGTATTCAATTAAATTCTGAGCAATTACACACTTAGATCGCTTCAGGCAGAAACTGTTGTCAAGCAGGCATTGAAAAACAATCTCCAAATGTTGCAAGTGAGCATCCCAAGTGGGGCTATATATCAGGATGTCATCAAAGAAGACAATAACAAAGCGGCGCAGGAAAGGTTCAAAAATCAAGTTCATAGTAGCCTGGAATGTAGATGGTGCATTGCAGAGACCAAAGGGCATTACCAGAAATTCATAGTGGCCTTGATGGGTGCGAAACGCCGTTTTATGGATATCCCCCTGAGCCATCTGTATCTGATGGTATCCAGAACGTAAGTCCAACTTTGAGAACCACTGAGTGCCATAAAGCTCGTCCAATAGCTCATCGATGGCAGGAATGGGAAATCGGTCTTTGACGGTAATGGCATTCAACGCTCTATAATCAACACAAAACCTCCAAGACCCGTCTTTTTTCCGAACCAACAATACGGGTGACGAAAACGCACTAGCACTGAGTTGTATCAGACCATTGGCTAACATCTCTTTAATCTGAAGCTCAATCTCATTTTTTTGAAAATGAGGGTAGCGATAGGGTCGCACATTGATTGGGTTGGAGGAATTTGAGAGGTTAATTTTGTGGTCTACTAGTCTGATCGGTGGAAGGGCAGTAGGTGTTTGGAAGAGAGCTTCAAATTTGTCAAGGATTGAAGAAATTTGGGGGTGTTGAGTGGCAGGTTCGTTGTTTATGTTTTCTGTGTCAACAAGTTGCAGGTGCAGGAATGTATCAATAGCGTTAGTATGAACTAGACGTTGAAGTTGGTGGATATTGGATTCCTGTGGACTTGGTTTCGGAGCCCCCGATAATTGGACTGGTTTCCCATCAATGTAAAAACTCATTGTGAGTTTATCATAATCTGTTAACATTGGGCCTAAGGTCTTAAGCCATTGCACCCCCAAAACTAATTCTGCCCCACTTAGTGGTAATACAAATAAATCCACAGTAAACTCATGTGGGCCCAGTAATAAGGATACTTGAGAACACATGGTAGTGCATGAAAGTTGCTCACCGTTTCCCACAAGCACTTTGAAGGATTGGGCCGGTTGGGTAGGGAGGTCCAATTGTTTCACCACTCTATCCTGTAGGAAGTTATGTGTGCTGCCATTGTCAATGAGGACACCCACTGAATTTTAGCGAATTTGGCCCAACACGCACAGTGTTTGGGGAATAGAATGGCCCATGAGGGCATATAAGCTAATCTGGGTCGGGTCGGGTTCCTGGTGAACAGCTTCAACTTGGGCCACGGTTTCCGAAAGTTGTAGCTGTAAGGTGGTGTCGGCATCCTCGTTTGGTTCCACAATCAACAAATAGAACGATCGCTTGCAACGATGACCTTGAGTATACTTCTCATCGCAGTTGTAACACAATCCCTTCTCACGACGGGCTTGTAACTCGGCCGGAGAGAGTCGTTTGATGGGGGTAGTTTTGGGCGGAGTGACCGTCATCGTTGACAGGAAAGATGAGGGTGGAAGCAGTGTAGTGGCGGTTGGGAGGCTTTTTGCTGGGACAGAAGAATGTGAAGCCCGATCTGCTAATTTCTCCTCCTGAAGTTTGGCGAGATTGATAGCATATGTGAGTGTGAGTGGCTGAAACGCCTGGACCTCCCGACGGATTGTCGGTTTAAGGTCGGAGACGAAACAGCTGAGATAAAAAGGCGGTGGTAAGCCGGTGATTCTGTTAGCCAACAACTCAAACTGACCTTGATATTCCTTCACAGAGCCAGTTTGGGTGAGTTTGAACAGAGCTCCTTTGGGATCCTCATACTGCGATGGTGCAAATCTCGTCTCCAGCGCGTGAAGAAACGATGACCATGTGAGGATCTGGCCGTTGGAGTGCATCCATTGAAACCACGGCAACGCTTCCCTGTCCATGTAAAACGAGGCAATCCAGAGACGTTGTTCGTCGGGTGTCAAATGGTAGTCGAAGAACTGGTTGATCTTGAAGATCCAACCCATGGGGTCAGAGCCATCAAAGCGTGGAATGTCCAACTTGATGGACGTCGCCGGCATGGTGGTCATGGTTGGACCAGACAGATTGAACCCTGGGGGCCAAGGCGGGTACGAATGCACTGAAACTCATCAGTGATGTGATTCTGAAAGGCTTGTTGATTAAGGATGAGACTGTTGATGGAAGCTGCAAGCTCTTCAATGGTGGGACGTGAAGACATGATCAATGAAAAGCACCAAATTGTTATGAACTGTGAACAGGGGAGAAAGAGGTTATGCTGTAAAGAAAAGATACTCACTAACTTTAGCAATATTCTTTTTGTCTGCCTTTTCATTCATCAACCAAGGAATACATATATAGCCAAACTAAATGAGAATCCAAGGAAATCTCGCTAGCCTAACAAACTTGTGAGTGGCATAACAAACTTATGACGTAATAAAATCTAGCAGCCTGTGACTAAGCAAAACAGACTCAACAGAAAAGGACAACATATTCCCTAAGACTTCTAGAAGCTTACTCACTTATTCCTACCCCCCCTTCTTAAGAGAAGGAATCACAAAGTCTTGGAAATGTCTGGGCCTGACACTGTTTCTTTTGGGCCTGAGTTTTGACTTGAAATCCATGATCCTCATCATTGCTAATAAGCTCATGTTCCTCATTCATAAGATACTTTGTTCATGACCTAAAGACAAACTTTCTTTTGATAATGATTTTCCAAACTCATAGGTGTTAAACAACGGGCTTAATTCCGCTTCCAAGCTTCCTGAAGAACATCCTAAAACAATTTAACAACTCTTTATGCAGATAGCTAACGGCGCACCATGTTCACCATCATTCTATATTTGCATTATGCTATTTCCTTTGGGTGTGGTATATATGCACTGTTATGTTGTCTCTTTAATCCTTCCTTTTCATAAGACAAATTGAATTCGAGAGTTAAACTCTTTTCCTCTATACGGTCACAAACATGGGTTCCTCTCCTTCCTTTTCCAACAACTTTTTGAAAGTTGTGAAACATTCCAATGCTTCTAATTTCCAAAAAGAAACTAGATCTAACCCTTTTGACTATAGTTATCAAAAAAACATAAGAGATACATTTTTCACTACTTGAAATGGGTTCTATTGATACACAAATGTATGCATGTATGAGATCAAAGATTTTGCTGGCATGCCATTCACTCTTCTAACGAATTGGATTGCATTGTTGTTTGTCGGTGAAACAGTAAGCACTAGTGATTCTCAAGGCTTCACATAAGTCAAAATAAAATATGCTGTTAAGTTAAAGAATAACAAATTGAATTCAGAAATATCCTTATTATGTTAAAGAATACAATAATGTACTCAAGCACAAAGTGTGAACTCTGTATTATAATAATAGCAAAACAATCATCAATGCATGCAACATGATATAAAATAGACCAAATATCTGCATGTATACTCTAACAAACGAAGACTTTGCATGTATAAAGATTAAAAAAACTCTAGAGCACTTATCCAATGGCACAAAAATATCAACTATCAGAAACTTGGCTAACAGATCTAGACGATGGATCCCAATCCAATGTAGAGGACTGAATCTTAGACAAAACCATGAAAACCTCAGAAACATTTGGTCTTGAATTCAGGTCACGAGCAACACATCTTTTAGCAATCTCCGCCATAGAATATGCAAGATCCAAAGGGTATTCATCTCTCAAATTCGGATCCATGAAACCTCTAAGCTTCTCCCTATCATTTTCCCCTTCAAGAACCTCATTCACAGTGGAAGATAAAAGCTGATCCCCCAAACCATTATTCTTGTCACCACCAACAACCTCTCTTCCAGAAAGAAGCTCCAAAATCACAACACCGAATGCGAAAACATCCATCTTTGGAGTAATCAAACCATTCTCAATATATTCAGGTGCCATGTAACCTTGAGTTCCTATAACATGTCTTGTTAACTGAAACCCTTCATTATCTTCATTCTCCATAACTCTAGCCAACCCAAAATTTGAAACTTTTCCTCGGAATTTTTCATCTATTAGAATATTCTCACTTTTCAAATTCTTATGAACATGAGGAGGATTAGCATAGTTATGAAGGTAGTTAAGTGCATCAGCAACATCATGAGCAATCTGAACTCTCTGAAACCAACTCAAACAGGTTGAATTCGAATTCTCAGAGTGAAGCCAATCATCAAGAGAGTTATTCTTAGCAAACTCGTAAACAAGATAAGTGTTACCTTTGTAGACACAAAAACCAGACAACCTTATAATATTGGCATGGTTAATCCTTTTCAAAATATTTATCTCAGAAGAAACATCACCTTTCAGAATCTTAACAGCACCATCATCACCTTTAAGAGATGCTCTATAAACAGAACCTTTAATCTTGTTCTGTTCGCTGAAAAATTTCGTTGCACTTTGCAAATCTTCAAATTTGAACTTAGTCAACGAGTCAACCGCATAACGAATCCCCTCAGAAGAAAGAGACGAAGATTGAGTTGTTGAGGAAACCTTCTTGGCGTTAGAGTCCCATAATTTCTGAACCGCAGGCGGTGGTAGCTTCGGAGGCGGCCGCCGCCGTTTATAGAAACAGAGCAAAAACAGAGCAAGAATCACGAGAAGCAATACAACAACCCCAACCACTACACCAACGATGACCCATTTCTTGGAAGAGGAGGAACCACCATCCGCGGGAGGAGTTCGCGGCGGAGACTCCGGTGGTGAAGCTGCTCTTATTATATTTTTGGGCGGTTCGGTTTTGAGAGGGACTGAAATAGGTGAGAAAGCGTAAATAGTAGAAGAAGAAGAAAGTTCGTTAGCATCAAAAATGCTTTGTGGATCAACCCCGAAAATATCAGCAATGGAAGCAACCGTTTCATCTTGAGAGATCAAGTAGGTGAGAAGATACTTGAAGCCTTGATCAGTCTGTTTCTTGGTGGGACAAGCACATCTGAGAGGAATAGTCAAGTTTAGACCAACAGAGAGATTTCGAATAGCGTAAGTATTCTGAGCCATAAGAGCTTGACATGAGGTAAGAGTCTGGTAGGTGTAATTTGCAACGGAGAAATAGGTTTCTCCGACGGTATTCAAAGTGTAGGTAGAGTTATGCTGGTAGTATTTGTTGTTACCGGAGCAGGAACAGTTAACGGGGACGGTTATGATGGTGTCGGTTGGGATGGTTTGGAGGGTGGAGATGTTGTTGGACTGTGAAACGAGGGAAGGTGAAGCGTTGAGGAGGTTGGAAATGGAAGCGGATGTGTTGTATAGAGAGTTTGATTTGAAGGTGAGGTAAGATTGGCATGAGTTGATGCTGTTGCAAATGTTGCCTAATGTTGAGTTGAATATGTTTCCACAATCTGGTTGTTTGATACCAACGTATTCTTGTTGGGATAGTGTTTTGGGGATGAAGATTGTGAAGATGATTAGTGTTAACAAGGTTGGGGATGCCATGGTGAGGTTGGTGGCTTTTGATTTGATTGGTTTAGTGTGTGTGCGCGCATAGGAGAAGAGGCTTAAAGTTTAAAATGGTTGATTTGTTGTTATGTTGCTGTTGTTGTGTATGGAATTCAAAGAACGCGTTATATTATTTGTTGATTTCTTTGTTTTTGTGTGTTAAAAAGGTTTGACTCAAGATGATCCTTTTGGTAGCGTATGGAATGAGATGATGATAGTCAAGGGTCGACATTTCAACATAGATACTGCGATTGGGATTGGCGGCCATAACGTTACTCAAGTCGGGTCAAATTAGATTTTTTAAGATAAGATCTAATTTAAACAATATATATAATTGATTATAGTAAAATTTGAAAAGGAAAAAGACACCCTGGTTTAGACGTCACAAGCATAAATTTTTTTACTTACAAGTTAACAATGTTGATAATACTAAAACTTGTATAAACATTTCAAATCAAAATTAAACACACTAACTGTACCAACTAGTGAAAACAGTGGAAGAATACTTTATATCTTATTATTGACCTATAATAATAAGTATTATGGTTAAATCTATAAAGGGGAAAATATTACACATGCTCCCTTTTGCTGATTGTGTATTCATCTAACTATGTCATTCGTGCTTTCTTTTGCATCCTCCAAGTCGAAAAATTGAGAGACACGCACACGAAAGCCCTACGAGTATTGCTAAAAGCAACGCTGCAGCAATAAAAAGGAAGAAAGAACTTAAATTAACTGATATTTAAACCTTAATTTGAGTAGTAGCAGATAAAATTTGGAAGTGACTTACCAAAAATCGTAAAATAAAGTAAGATCGCTATGCGATATCTTTTAATCCACGGCAAACTAGCTTCGAGAGTGCAATGCCTTTGATTATCTCCTGTTTTTGCTTTGTCAAGAGTCTCTGATTTCGATGGATGTAATTCCAATAACGAAATATTGACGCCTGTAACAGCGACCCCTTTCTTGTCCCGGATTTCAAATTTCACATTCACGGGGTGAGCCTCCCAATCTATTTCAATGGTTCCAAAGTTTGGCTGGCCTAACAAAATCCCACATTTGAAACATCAAAACATGGAAACCATTTCAAACCAATGTGCAAGTATTTATATACGAAAAGGAAGAGGTAAAGTTTACCATATACACAGGATTTGTATTTGCAATTTGGTCCCTTAACTCTCATTGTAGACGGTGTAAACCATGCAAAAAATCTCACCAGAGGAAGCAAGAAACGCGGAACAACTTCCTCGACGGATTGAGTAAGCCCGCTTGAGGTTATATCAAATAGTGGATAGTCCGATGCACAGTCATATCTTGTAATTTCGCCGAAGTGAACATCTCCGCTTATAAATAATACTCCACCCCGCTGTAAAGAACGAAATAACAAGATGTTTAATAAATATTGATTCACAACATTAAGTAAAACAAAATGTAGAAATAGAATGCACTTCAAGTTATATTATTACCTTACTTTCGGCTATTAATTTGAAAAGGCGATCTCTTTCCTTTGGAAAACGACCCCATGATTCCATTGCGACCAACGGTTGAAGAGTTGCTGATAGATTTGATATAACCTGAAATACATAATGCAGCCTAAAGCTTAAATAGATGCAGATATCGTAGTATACATTATGGTTAGATATGTGATAAACTTACAGACTGATTAATCTCATTGATTTAAGTGATTATAACAATTGATAACTAATTACCCTACCTGAATAGAAGATCCAATTATGGTAATGGCTGTTGGTGGACCATTTAACTCTCTCTCCAACCATGACCATTGTGAATCCCCCAAAATGGTTCCATCACTTCCTACAGGATCTCTGTGGTATCTGGTATCTAAGAGAACAACCTGAGTAGGTTTCCCCGATTCAAAAAAAAAACTGATATTAGCACGATACAAGATACATGCTTAAAAGTTTAAACACTATTTTAAAAAATTTTGTAGCTTCATTATTAAAGATAAGAAAGTGAAATGTTGCATCATTTTGAGATGTTGTAGGGGCTTATAGCCTACCATGGCACAATAACCATGACAAGATATTATGAATCGTATATCGAATGAAGAAAATGAATTTTACTCAGTTAATACCTTGACATCTTTTCCCATGGGACCATATGTATATGAGGCATAGACACCGGCCTGTTTCCGTCTGAAATAAGAGCTACAGTAAGTACCAAGGCACTGTTTGGATAAACGACTTAAATAGGCACTTATAACTTAAGCATTTATCATTATAACATATCCACCTTGGGCTATCTTGAGGTTCATCCAAGAAATCAAGAAGTAACTTTTGGTTGGTCTCTTTCTTATGAAATTCTTTTCCCGCATCGTTTAATCCATAGTCGTGATCATCCCATGTTCCGATAACCTACAACATGCCAATGTAAAAGTTAGACTAACGATGATGAATAAAGACAGGGACCACAAAAAACAACTATAAGAGCTTAGAATGAAAACCTTGGCACTCTCTTTAACCCGAGCATAGCCAGGATTAGACTTAGCCTTCTGATATTTAGCCTCCATTTCCTGCTCAGAGGCAGGAAGAAATCGTGGAACATTCTTCCATGGCCCAATAGTCCTCTCTCGTCCAAAAATTTTGAAAGGCCGTTTGATGTCTCCGTAAATGTTATCTCCCATAAATATAAATAATTGAGGATTGAAGTCTGCTACTGCATCCCATATAGGCTGGGAAGGTACACAAAACACAGCATACACATATTAGCAAGCTGACAAATATAGGTCTATATAGCAGTATTGTCAATCCTAGATCACAGGAAGCAGTAGTCTGCAAATTCCGCTACGCAATAGTATTACAACGTCCTTTGGTAACATTTTACACTAAATAGCGTATCGCAGAACAATAAACAATTTGTTCGAGTTCTGCTATGCTATAGTGCCAAATGTAACTTCCATTTAACAACACTAATATGTAGGAAGTAGAGCCGTCTCAAATTTTTGGAGACCCTATTTAGTCACAGTTTGGCTCTGTGCGGTAACCCACCTTGCACACCCTCAAAGAGGGCCCTGATAGAAAGTAATACCTACCAAGCTTGCATTAGACAAAAAGCACAAAACAAGTTACCAATGTAACATTGCAAACTAAACTTTAACATTGAAGCAAAGAAAAGCTTAGTGCCTCCACTTTTGTTCTGCAATACACTATCTAGTATAAAACATTCTGTAATACTAGACAAGAGAATTTGAACAAACATCCATACAAAATTAACAACTATAATCTCACCCTTCTAAAACAAATTACACCACATTATAAATCTTCATCCCAACTAATAATTCTTAGAAAAGAACAAAGAACAAGTACTAGAATTCAAGCAAAATAATAAACAGAAACAGTGGTTGCTTTGTTGAATGTTACATAAAAATCAAATTAAAAGACCACACATAATATATGTTTTTACTGCGTTGATACGAGAATTGGGACATCATGGTTGGAAAAAAAAACATTAGCAACAAAACGACAACACTACAACGCGCGAAGGAAACAAAAAACAGAAAACGGTTTTAACAGAATAGAAAGAAATTACAAAAAAAAAAAAAAGCAGAAGAACAAAATTGAAACCTGGGGAGCACTCTGGTTAGAACATGATCCAAAGGCAATTCTTGAGACAAGGTTTTCGCGGTTCTTGTGACTGTCGGAAGCGGTTACCGTGGTTGAAACGGTTGTTATTCCGATGAATAAAAGGAAGCACCGCAATGGCCACCGCCGCGGACATTCAACCACACCCATTTGTCGAAAAGTTATGGGGTTTGAGAGATCAGAGAAAAAGACCTTTCTTTTCTTTTCTTTTCTTTTCTTTTCTTTTATCAGAATTTTGAGACCAATGGCTGACGAAAAGTACACCAACAGTTGCTCCCATGGTACCTTATATATTAAATAAATGGATAAATTAAATTTTATTTTTAGTTTTTCAAAATATTTTATTTTAAAAATAGTCTTTTTAAATTTTTTTATCCACATTTTTTTTTTGCCTCTAATATTAAAATTATTAATAAAATCATCGTTAATTCAGTCGCTAAGTAATAAATCGTAGCTAAAACGGTCGTTAATCATGTTACAATATTGTAAAAACCGCGCTAAGTTGCATGATGTACCAAAAGTGTAGATGTAAAATTTTATGAGAACCATTCTTTAAAAAAAAATATTTTGAGAGACTAAAAACAGAAATTTGAAATATTTAGAAGGATCAAAAATATATTTAACCCTTAAATATTTATTATTCTTTCTTTTCAATCATGTAAATTTGTCTTTCTAATACAATTAATGAAGAACAATTTTGTAAAATTCTTTATAACTTTTCTTTTTTATATAATAATTATTACATTTTTTAATATGTGTAAAAAGTTAAAAATGATTTATAATAAAAAAAACGGAGAGAGTATTTTGGTAAGATTAATGAACTTTTTTAATATATGGTAGGACCTACTTTTTTTTAAATTGCATTATTCTTTTTTATAAAAATTAGACATAACTTGCTCCCTAATTATGTCCGACTAATATGTTGCTTTTACTATTTCCTACAATTCCAAAAATCTAGGATTTGCAGCCATATATACCTCAACCTGTCATCTCAAAAGTAAAGGCTTGTGGCATAATCTCCTTGACTTGTTATAGTTACACCAAACACCTTGTGTAACGCTACGATTTGATTTCCCAATTTTGTTGAGTCTTTTGAATTATTTTGGTGTTTAATATTTTAATTGTGAAATTAATGTGTTAATATGTTATGTTTGCATATTATGCTATTTTACCGATTTTGAGAGTTTTCGGGAAAATATAGTGAAGGGTATTTTAGACATTAAAGATTTAATAATAAGTTGAGATATTTTGTGAGAAATGGATTAGTAGATGTTTGGAGAGAAATAGAATAGAAGGGATATAGGTGGAAAAAGAGAAAAGAAAATGATAGAAATAAAGAGAAAGGAAAAAGAAGAGAAAGAAAGAAGGAAGAAGAGAGAAGGGGAGAAAATAGAG